ATAAAATCCACAATTTATTTACGATTCTTATGAAAATTAAAAAGTATTTATTATTTATTTGTTTATAAAGTGATCGTTATTTGTAAACATTGAATAAACATATTTTTGTCAATTACCATTAATTTGAAGATCGATGTATCCAGGCGAGATCAATGCCCCACTACAATTAATCCTGATATCCGGCTGGATCTTCTCATCGTAAAATATTTTCTCCGGATTGACTATTTTCCCATTGCGTACCCATAGATCCTCTTCTAATATCTGACCGTCCCGCAAAATGCAACAATTGTAAAATTGTTTTAAAACCCGCCAATCGTTGCAAGACATTGTTGACATATAAAACGTTTGCGTTAAAAACTGCGAATGTCTTCGTTAAAAAAAAAACCTTATCAGAGACACAGCCTCTCGCATTATCAGTCACGAGTAAAATTATCATATGGGATTGGAATACAATAGTATTGACCTCAAAAATGATTATTCAAAGATGTCGCTGGACATCGACACGAATTTTTAAATCAAAGATTGAAAGTGATATAAAATTTATCTTAATTGTTTATCTGTTACTTTACGCCTACTTGAGAATAATTTCTCGGCTTATAATATATCTGATAAAAAGCATAAAAATATTAATATCATGTTTTATTTTTGAATAATCAAAATTTTATACTTACCTAATTAGCATCGCGACAATAATTGAATTTGTTTAATGCGCGATGCAGGTATAATTTCGAATGAAATTATTAAAGGGAACATACACAGGCTTGGTTGTTTTCAAAGTCCAGTATAATTCAATTCCATAACAAATTGGATTGAAAACAATTTACTATAAAACTGTATAAAAAGGGGCGCCGTTTACGTAAAAAGAAATTTGAACCCAAAGGAAAAGAACGATATTCAAAAAGAAAAAAAAATATCTATGCAGAAGACAAAAACCAGGATAGGAAAATGGCACTACGTTCATAATAAGTTTCTATAAGAGCACAAAGAAACAAAGCGCTATCTGCTGTTTGCTTTTTTTCAATTTTTGTATTAAAAATGCTTTAACAGTACCCAAAAATTTGTTCATAGATCAACATGCGTTTCTTTTGAAAAGACTCAACTAACTTTCATGTTTGTATATAAACGTAACAATAGTATAAAATGAAGCAATTAAAAGTGACAATAATTATGTAGAGCTGACAGCGCAGTTCGTTTATAATCATACATTATTAGGCTGTTAAAAAAGAGCCGCATTTTTTTAATCCATCGTCAACGTCGGATAGAGGGAGGGTACGTATAATTTTGTTATGTATATGTCACTGGTATATCAGAATCTAGCCATGATTTGAGATAGGAGATATGATATGATTAGACGATTTATACGAACGATATTACATTTGGAGCCATGGATGCAGGATTATCTAGGCAGTTATCGGTCAGGTTTCGTTAGTTGTGTGTTGTCTCTCATCGCTTAGTGTACGCATGAACAATTTTTCTTTTTCTTAGCTTCATTCTTTTGTAATTTTACTGTTGTTTACAGTCATTAGGATCAGCGCCATGTTGCTTCCCACCTGGTAGTGAACTCTTCGGCAATGATTCTTCGTCGTCCTCATCTTCCTCTTCAGGATCATCTTCATCCTCCTCCTCTTCTTCGAAAATTTCATCTTCATCTTCTAAGCCTTCTCCTGAAATATTAATTACAATTTTAATTTCATACATGTATTTTTATACAATTCGTTTCAATTTTAGTTCACCACTTTTATTAAATTTATGCTTATGGAATGTACAAAATACCTGTGTAATACAGAACGGCCTTCGGGACTATACGCTCTCTAATGTAATGGCCAATTTCAAAATCATTGGTTAGTAAAGCTTGAGTTTCATCATCCAACTCCGCTTCGGAATCTTCTGGCACTGAAACAATGTGGCCCAAGCGATAAATATAATAATTCTGATGTAAAAGTAGAATACTATAAATGTACTTACCAACTGGTGGACTGAAAAAGTTAAAGAACGAATCGTTCTGAACGGTTTTTGTTACGGTTCGCATGGAGCCTCGCGATTTATGTTTCTGATTCTTCTTGATGGTCTTTACTGTTACATTCTTCCCTTTCTTCCAATCAATCACGCAACCCTAAACAAAAAAAATTTGAAATCAACTTACTGCAAACGTACTAGTATGATTAGTAGACCGCAGATTTGTATAGTATTCTTGTAAAATACGATTTAAATCACTTAAGCATTGCATATTTTTGTACATTACAATGCATTCTTTATACTTTCATTATGTTGCATAAAATCTGTAGTCTAATGACGAAATGTTTGTTAAAGATGTGGTATACTGAAAGCAATATTTACCTTACATTTGTATATTTCTGGGCCTTCAAAGCTAAACGGGTCATCTTTTTCAGGTGTGCATTTCATTAGGTACTCTTTTGTTAAAACTGAATTTGTAAAATATTCGTTTGGCTCGAAATGGAACTCGAGAACAAATCCCTACAAAACATCTCATTATCGTTAACGTGATTCCTATACTACTTATGCTCTTCTTCATATTTTTGATAATGTTTAAATCACTATTCACAATGCGTTTATATAACTTTCTTTTATTTTTGTATCGAGTTAACCAGTTTTTTCAACTTACCATTGGATTACTTTCGAGGAATAATACTTTAATATCATATAAATGTTTGAGTATTGGCTCGTCGTGTTCTTGAACCATGTCCGCTAATGTTTCGACGTTTTTAAATATTGTCAACCAGAAATCTGGGATGCCTTTTACATCAACGGGTTCAACTCTGAAATGGATCGAAATTTTTAATAATTTGCTACGTTAATATCAGACTGCGGAGTTTTATGCAAAACGAAACATTTGTAGTATTAGTTTGAAAAGTGCATTTTAAATAAAAACTTCTATCAAGCATGGTTTAATTATTGCTTAAACAATCAATATTGTGCATTGTTATATCCATTGTTTTCTGCTCATTTACTTTTCTCATAAGAGTATAATAATCTACAGTCTGGTAGTATTTATGACAATAATTAAGTGAAATAACGTACTCCTCCTTCTTTGCCTCCTTGTTTTCTTCAAGACCAGTTTTTGTCTTCAGATCGTTATTTAAGTTTTCTTCCTCATCATCGCTTTCCCACACGCACTGCTCGCCTGTTGGTTCGTAGACTCCCGATATTATTTCGCTCCTCTTCTCGTAAAGAGGGGCACACATTTTGTAGTAAGTGCATTCCAATGCGTGTACTTCCTCATAGAATTTAGCTTCGATATTGGTCGTAACTAATTGTAACTGTTTCAAAGCTTTAATTCTGCGTTTCACAGGAGCTGGAAGATTCTGCATTTGCTAAAAATTGATAATTTTTTATACAATATCATATCATAATAAAATGTATATTTATTTTATTCAATATTTTAATGGAATTATATTTGCTAAGGTACTAAACGAAAGGAAATTGCAGCTTCTAGAGAATGTAGGTTAGCAGTTCAAATGTATAGCAAACTCTAATTTAGTAGCATAATTTTTACTCTACGATATCAGCAAATAAGCAATATTTTAATACATAATGAAGATGAAAGTTAAATTTAAATCAAGGAATAATGAAAGTAATAAATGAACAACTAAAATATTTAAACCTCAACTACACAAAATTTCTCTTTTTCTTAGATTTTAATGCAGTTATTGTCTCGAGTTTGAAGTAAATTCAATTTTGAAAATGGAATTAAATTACTAATACACGAAACGATAACTTTTAATCATTTACACTAACCCTGCTTGATCTATTATTTACCAAACTCTTTATCGCAATATTTAAGAAACATTTTGCATCATTAAAAACATTCTGATCAGTTCATGAATTTAATTCTAACGAAAAATAAATATCACTGCAATACAACAAAAGTATTCTTCTGTCGTATCGCATATTCAGATACAATACGTATTGGAAATCAGTTAAGTAAAATCAATCATTTTTGAGTTGTTACAAGTAATTATAGTTGCTAATTTGTTGACCATTGACGCGCAAAATAAAAAAGTACCTCCAATCCCGGCGCAGTGCGTTCTCCCAGAGCAGCTAACATTTCAGGATTATCTAAAATTTTTGAGAAACGGTCTTGGGTTTTGTTATCATCTTCATCTTCAACAGATTCCATTTCGCTATTATCGCCAGCACGCTCTGGATCAGTTGTCATAGTACTATAATCTAGATTTATATTTCTCTTTTCTAAAAAGAACACTTGCATTCAATAGGAAAACTAGAACAATTAGCAAGTAAGAGACAGAAAAAGACAG